TCCGGCCACATCCGGTGCTCGAACGCCACACTCTTCTAAGCGTTCACCAACGTTCAACTTGCCTGCTAACGACGTTTCGACGAGCCTTTGTACGAAGTAAGAAACAGTCCGTGTCGCCGGAGTCGATTATGCATTGCACGCTGATCGGTTCGTCACGATAATCATCGTTACGCGTTATCGATAACAAATGTTTGATTGAAAACGTTTATAACGATCGAAGCTACACGAAATTTCTTTCTCTCACACATGCACGCATACACGCAATCTCTCCCTCTCTCTCGTGCTCTCTCGCACACGCACTCTCTCTCTCTCACGCTCTGTCTCTCGGCGTGGTGCTAAAAATGCTGAATCGCAAAAAAGGGGCGCCGCCGTTTTTGTTTCATCTCCTTTTTGTTCCTTATAGATGTAGATCTGTGTGTCCGTGTCTCTTGTGTGTACTTTTTTGCTAACTTTTAAACGTTTTGTTGATCAGTGATCGGTACTTCGGGAAGATCGTATTGTGCATCTTTCGCTACATTGCTTTTCACGTAAATCGTTTTACGGAACTATGTTTTTTTTTTTCACTTTTTTTTTAAGAAAACGCTACGTCCTATCGGCTATTTCGCGCTAAATGTTGTTGTCCCTCTTCTCGCTGAAATCTCGCCAAAATCGCGTCTCGTGAGAAGCCACTGGGTGTATTCCACTCTCTCTCTTTCATCCCTCTTTCCGTTCCGCATTGTTTCTCCCACGTATTCACTTTCGCCGTTTTACCGTTGCTTCCAGTACGTTCGATCTTCCTCGAACTTCCCTCCGGAGGAAACTGACTTACCAAAGAACGATCCGCGGCTGCGAGAGAATCGACGGAAGCCACCCCTCTAGCGTGTGGCGAAACGCCGGATTCCCCAAGTAGTATCGGTAGACGATAAGGCTGACAATTAGACGCGACGCAGCGTGTAAGCACTGAACGATCGCCCATTCAAATCCCACTTCGAGGAGTCTTTTCTTTTCTTTCGACGAGAATCATCCTCGAGGACACGTTTTCAATGGTCAATCGGCCACGGTCAACGTAGAATTATCGTTAGTAGTAGTAGTAGTAGTAGTACAAGTAGTAGTAGTAGTAGTAGTAGTAGTAATAGTTAGTAGTAGTAGTAGAAGCGTAAGATTAGTTCGATGCTACAGATGTAATAGCCGGTGAAACGCGCGAGTCCAATAGCACACGCAGCTACGAACGTGTTATTTTCATTCCTTTTCTTCTCCTCGTCCTTCTTCTTCCTCGTAGTCCAGCAGCAAAGAGTGAGAACGACAAGGTAGACGTAGCAGCGGCGAAAAAGTTTAAGAACAACGACGACGTGATCGTGTGTCGCGGATGAACACGAGCGCCGCAAATCGCGAGAGTTTTTTTGTTTTGCAATTTCTTCTTCGGAGCGTAGAAGCGCTGCTTCGAACCGCGAACGTTAACGATGGTTCCTCTTCTTGTAGCGTATCGAGTCGAGTCGAGAGTAATACAAAATGTGCGACAAACGCTCGAAGATAATGCGTGAAGTGAGTCCTCGTTTAATGTTTCGCCACCGAATCAATTTCATTTCCCTTCCCTTTTCTACGATTCGACGCGCGCGTGACAATTTCTCTCCTCTTCCTTTCTTCTCGCGAATCTCATTCCCTAAAAGTCCAGCTTCCCGTTCAGTGTCGTTACAAGTGCTTGTTTCGTTCTCCTTCTTTTTTTTTTTGTGATTTTTTCCTGTGTTTTTTTTTTTTTTGTTTGTCTGTTGTATTCATCTTTAGTAAAAAGCTAGGCCGCTGTTAGGCGTTCAGGCGGTTCCGGATATACACACGTCACGCTCTCCTCTAATTTACTCTTGTCGAGCAGATTTACACGATTTCCTCGCTCCTCGTAATCCTTAACATAGTCGATATCACGATATAACATGTGTTTTTTTTTTTTTTTGTCTTTGTTATAATCTACGCGCTTAAAACGGTACTTTGAAACATTTTTATATACTTATAATACAAAATCTGTTTTAACGTGAATTAAAAATCTCTTTTTCATCATCTACCACACACCCTTTAATTTTCTTTTTCTCTTCTTCTTTAACTCTCTGCGTCTCTCATTCGCTCTTCCCTCTGTACACTTTCTCTCTCTCTCTCTCTCTCATTCACTCTCCCGCTCCCTCTCTCGTACTCTCTGTTTCTCCTCGCGTGTACATGTAACAACGATAATAATAATAGTAATTATTTAACATCGTCTAACGGTATCACCATAGCGTGTCATGGCGTGACATCGAAAACTCGAAAGAATGTTTAGCGAGAAAATAGCTCAGTGAGAATATCGCTCTTCGATCTTGGACCACGGAACCGTGCTTCTCCGATCTTCTTCTCTTTTCTTTTTTGATTTTCACGGTAACGAAAAAAAGCTGTTCTTTTGAAAATTCCACTCGAATCCGTCAATCCTCCTCCTCGTTCCGTGATCTCTTTCGTGTTCGAGCCTCGCTAGGCGTTACTCTCCTACATTTAGAAGGGAACACCGTGCAGAAACTCGATCGTGTTACGGTGAATAATCATCAAGAGAGAGAGAAAGAGAGAGTGGTGCAAGAGCGAAGCGTCGCGGGTGTTCGATCCGAAGTAAGAATGAAAGAGCTTCTGCACGATATTCCCCTCGAGAGAGAGGGCACATGCCTCTCGTAGTTTCGTTAAGTTTCGCATAGGAAGGTTCGATCTCCTCGCATGCTTCTTACGGTAGAATTATTTGCTGTAATAGTATAGTAATCGAAGTTAAAAACGAGCACGTTCGGAAGCGGAGAGAACGGCGGTTCCTCGAGAGGAAAACGAAGGCGGTTCGGTTCGATTGGTTTTCTCTCTTTTTTTCTTTCGTTTAAAATTGCACAGCCCGCTTCGGGAAGCTCTCAGGATGTCCTCGTTCTCCGATAAGAACGATCAGACTGAAGATAACGAGACGAAGAAGAAGAAGAAGGAGGAATTTTCACAAGTGTCTTTTCAAAAGATCAGTTTCACCGCCGTCGTTTCGATCCCTCGCTCGAACCGTACGCCCTCCACTTCCGGTTTGTACGACGGAGCACGTCTCTGACGGTCGACTTGCTCGTTTTCGTTTTTTCTTTCTTCTTTTCTCTCGTTGGGGTAAAAACTGCGACTCGATCGATCAAACGGGGGGGTTTTAGTCCAAGTGTTTGCAGTCTGTTTCCTTTCGCGACGGTTGCTTTCATTCGCGAGCCTGTACAATGCAATTTTCGCAGGTGGAGGAAATAGAAACGGCAACGTGCGTGACGGAAAAGACGGACACGCGGGACAGTGTTTGTCGAAACAATGGTCGGTGGCACAGAGAGACGGATCGAGGCGGCTGTACGAGCGGCGTTTCGAACGTTTATTCGAGGCGACACGCTGTGCCGACCAAATTCCAACGGGAAAAACGTTTCCCGTGTTTCGTTCCTCAATTTCATCCTCGCGACGAGCCGTTCTCTCCTTCCCTTCTCTGTGTACGATCGAGAAACTAGTAAAAAGAAACGTACCCGCGATTCGATCCTTATCTTCGCTGGAATAAGACCAGGCAATTTATTGTAATTTTGTTCACCGTGAAACCACCTCGTCGAACGGACCGACGTTTCTAAACTATCAACGGGTTAAAATCGCGCCGAACGTGCCGTAGCGCGTTTCGATCGTACGAAAACGAGGGAATCGAGCATCGGAGTAGTGCCCCCCTCTGCAGATTTCGCGATCCACAGAGTAAAGATATCCGCTAGATTCTACGGTTATAGGCAAAGAGAGAATTGTTTGGTTTTTTTTTTGCTGGTATTTAGAGAGAGAATATCAGCGAGCGGTCAGGCCGTTGATCGTCCAAACGAGAAATCGTCGATCGTTTCGCTCCGACGGGATTCGTATCCGAGGCGCGACCGAGCCGTAACAGATTCGTTTCGGCCACAGTGTATATATATTATGTAGGTATGTATACGCTATTATACTTTACACAACGGTAGCGAATTTCATTGTTTCCATTCGTTCGATGGAATGATTTGGCAGTTCGACTAACGCCACCTTCGAGTGTCGCGGATCGAAAACATCGACGAATTCGTTGCATCTCTCTCTCTCCCTCCCCTTATATCGATTAAGATTTACTCATCTAACGCGAAATGAATGAGCTCAGTCGTGCGTTCGACGCTTCTCGACGAAGACCGCGTTTCCGATAAACCGGGGGATATTATAGAGATACGTAGCAACATGTATATAGGGTGTTCCGTTCGAGACGGATGCGCGTCGAGCTTCGAGAGCGTGCGGGAATCTAACGAGTGGCATTGACGATTCACGAGTTTTGTCCGTGACACTACAATAGCTAGGATAAGAGTCTAATAATACAGGAAATACAACGTGTGAGAGATTAGGTGTTTAGTTGAAGTTCGAAGGAGGTAGGAGAATAAGAAGAAGAGGTAAGTTAGTAGTAGTAGAAATAGAGTTAGAATTTAAAAGGGAGCGGGAACAGTAGTGTGCAACGAAAAAAAGAAACGGAACAGAGTGGAGATCTGTTCTCTCTCATCTACGTTATACCGAAGTAGAGAATTATTCGGCGCGATCGTTGGCACGAATCGGCCAAATCGACACGCTCGCTGAGTCTAGATAAAGCGACGTTCGTCGTCTGTTCGCCGGTGAACAGTCGCTGGAATTCTTAACGAGACGAGTATTTTGTTTCAGGTATTTCAAGGTTTATACAATATGTACACGTATGTATCTCGACTAGAACAAAAAACGCTTCGGGTGACGTGTTTTTAAAACAACCGTTTTTTGCTTTTTTTTTTTTCCTTTCTTCTCTCCTCTTTCCTCTTTTATAGTTATTATAATAATCAACCGGCGAGAATGGGAGGGTTAACGAGGTTCGTTATTTCTCTTTTGTTTGTTTTTGGTGGAGGGACGAGGGAAAATGGGATGGTGCATCAACGTAGCTTTCGATAGTTATTTCGGGAAGGCTGTTATGACGATGACGAGACCCGTAAATGTGCGTCCATCTGTCGTCCTTTTTGCTGCACAATTTTCTCTCGCTTCTGTCTGTTTTTTTTTTTTTTTTTTGCCTTTTCTCACGTTCCTAGACCGGACAGACCAGGATCTCGTACTCGAACATCAGCGAGACAGCGACGAAGACGAAGTAGAGGAGGAACATGGTGATCCCAAGGCCCTTGTTCATCCGCCACTTGAAACAGGCGATGCTCAAGATGACGAACAACAGCATGCAGAATAGGATCGCTATACTGCAGACCATCCCCACCGAGTTCACCTCCACGGGTCTTCCATAGATCAGGCCGTACAGCAGCCACGGTACCGGAAGCCTACGGGCAGAAAGGCAACGGAAAATCGAGCCAAATTTCACTATTAATCGTTACTTCCACCATCCACCACACTTTTTTACAAACCCTTGCTCTCTTTCTTTCTTTCTTACACCACGAGTGTTTTTAGCTAAATTCATTACGATTCAACCCTTTGCACTCGGAGGTGATTCTGCTGTGGGAAAGGTTGCAGATCTTCTTTGAAAATTGTTCAAACTAACGTAGAAATATTTCATATATTTTCTATTTCACTATGGCGAGCAAATTTATGCCTCGATTAATTATTTACCAAGTGACAATTGTTTAACGAAAGCTTCTCAGTTGATTGCAAAGGGTTGAACTTATCGCGTAAAATACGACCAAATTTTTCCGCGAACAAGAATGAAAAAGGAAGCAAGAATCAATCTTACATACACCAGACATCAAACATCTAGTCTACCAATGGATTCTTCTCCTCCCTGCAGAAAAATCTAATACACTTTTCTTTTTCTTTTTTTTTTTGGGAGAAGTTTCCAAGTGGTCCGTGACCTGCTTCTGTCTCTTCCTGCAAGCAAACTGAAACCGTTCGCTCGGAAAAAATTTTTGAAACATCCTGCACGCCGTCCGCAACCAAAGGATTCAACTTGCCTACTTTTCTTTATCCTGTCGCTTGTCAGTTTACTCTCCACCCGTCCCTTCCTACCTGCCCCTCCCGCCGCTGCTGCAAAACACAGATATTAAAGGGAAACTGGGACGCGCGGGACTCGCGGATGCATACGATAAATCGCTCTTCCCAAACCTACGTACCCACCACCTTACTTCTACCCCTTTTCCACCTAAATTCTTCTAATCGTAATTACTCCAACTTTCGCAACTTAGCAATCTTACTTAAAAAAGGAAATCCTGCATTTCCTTTCATCCTACGAGCGACATCCACGGTGGCTCGGAACACCGAGCCAAGCGTTTTCCTCCTTTCCTCCTGGGCAGCTTGCCAGCTGGCAGCTCTGCAACGGATGCGTGCAACCAAATCGATCTTCGATCGAGTCGATTGCCGAATGGACGAACCCCGGAGAGCCAGGAGGAAATCGTGCGTGCACGCATGCGCGCAGAATATATCATATCCAGCGAATAACTGTGTTTTAAGGTTTCTCGGACCAGATCGAATTGATCGTCGCGATTCCCAGCGAACAAAAACCGTCGCGTCTGCGTCTACGCGTCCCCATCTGCAAACCCGAAACTCTCCCCCGGGGGAAGATTGGTAGAAAGGGAGTGGACTGGTTTATTCGATCCACACGGTTTGCGATTATCGCGACCGTACGACAGGCCTATTCCACGCGTTATCGTCGTCGAGACGATAATCCTCGGCGGTTTCGATTTTCCCAATTAAACGGCGAAATATCGTTTCCAGTTCGGCCAGATGATCGCTATCGTCCCAGTTTCATGGTGAATCGCGCCCTCCACTCGTGAAATTTATCGTCGCGTCCAGCATTTAAGGCGATTAAATTAATTAACTCAATTACCCCTAACGACTTGCCTCGCGGTTTCTTTTCTCCTCTCTCCCGAGTCTCTCCTCGAGGAGAAATATCGCCGCGACGAGGAAGAAGTTCGATCAGAGGAGGTTTTTTTCCAAGGAAGAATACACGCAGGCCAAGAGGAAGGTTCACTTTGCCGGTAGAGCAGAGGAAAGGACGAGCTTCGCTTTTAGACTACGTTCTACCACGGTATTACGGAGAAATAGCGAGAGTACCTCTGAATGGTCCGGCGGCGCAACGACCAATTCCACGCGTCTGCCTCTTGGCTCCATTTGATCATCGGTGAAATGCCAATTTATACGTTCGTATCCTCTGTTCCTGTTACGATAACTAGCTTCGACTCCCAACTTTCAAGGGTTTTCCCTAATAATTCGGACCCGTTCGACGTCTCCGCTTCGAGAGAATCTTTGAATCTCCGGATAGGTTCGGCGATTGCGAAATATTCCAACGAGGGAACTTTCTCAAGTGACATACTCACCGATATTTGGCAAGCTTTACTATACGACAGTACTAAAGAAAATATTCGACACGTATTTTTTTTATTACTGAAAATCGTCTGCATTTACGGGGTGAGAATCGTTTTTAAAATTGGAGGCAGTAAATTTCAGAGATGAAAAATGAAAAGATTATTTATTACCCCCGTATTTCAGATCGATTTTCACCCCTTCACTGTGGACCATTGTCGAATATCTTTTCCAGCACTACTATATACGAAAGTTTCGTGAAAATCGGTGATTATCACTTGGAGATGTTCCCCTGCAAGTACCAAAGAAACTTTCTAATTTAATCGTCCGGTATTTAAATGTCCCTTAGCCGCGGATAATGGAGATTTAAATCCCTCCAACTGTATTCTACGGTGTCCAAGAAGAGAGATATATCTCGGAAGTTTGAAGGACAGCCTCTTTCGTCCCCCAGTTTCTTCCACAAGTACGCCTTGACGGTATTCCTCCAACCGTGTTACTCATCTTCGATAATATCCAAGCGTTTATTTTTTTTTTTGCCACGGTGAAGCAATAAATGCAAATAAAAGAGTTTATCGCTCGCGGTTTTACTACGGCTTGTTAAAAGACACGAGACGACCGATCTCCAAAACGATCTATATCCAGTTCATATTAAATCCATCTACCTATATATACCAACTTCTCCGAGGCAGAAATAAAAAGTTTACAGCAATTATATTAGTTCTATTAAACGTTGACCTAACTTTTTATCGCTCGACTGGAAGAAGTTCCACATAATTTTCGAGACTTCTCTTAAGGCACGTTGCGTCGAGGACAATTAGGTCGTCGGAGACTTCTAAAATGCCGAAAACTTCGATAACGAAAAACTTTTTATTACAATGCTCGAAGCGATACGAGACGCGGCGACTCGGAGGTTTTGCTCGTCCTCCGCAGTAATGGCGGCCAGCCGATTTGATCGAGGCTAACCGAACTCTCGACTACCCCCTCTCGTCTTTCCACGGCTATCTATATTATCCAATTAAATAGATTGTGCCGGCGCACACGTTTCCGATATTTCCAATAGGTGGGCCGATTGCGAATCTGTCAGTGTAGACCGGTTTTCTTTACCTCCTTTCACCGAGTAATCGTTCCCGACGTCCGCCAATTTCCGTCCTCCGCCCTCGAAGATACTCCCCTTTTCTTCGCGGAGGATCGATCAAGAAAGCCTAAAAGGAAACTTCACGTGTTATCCAACACGCGAAAGGAAAACTCTCGCTGAAGATCGCGATTCAACCGTGAAAACTATGCGGTGTGCCTATGTTTCTCGGCTTCTTGTTTAGCCCTTTGACAACAGGTTCCCGGCAACTTTCGATAGGGTAATTCCGGGAGAGACGGACCAGGCAAGTATTTCCTACATTATCCGCCATATGTGCGACGCGTCAGTATTCTTTTGTTTTACATTTCTTTTACGGAAAGCGATCGAGCGTGGCTCTCGGTGTCTTTTCTTCGATATCTGGCTGGTTCGTCTCTCCCGAAGTTACCCTGCACTATCCACACACAGAGAACGAGATTTTTCTGACACATTTTTGTGTGCGTTTCTTCGAGTAATTTTTCACGGTTTCTACGAAGGGTAACGAACTTCCCGATTTCTCTGAGTCCGGCGAAACGCGTCTCAGACGAGATGAGTGCTGGCTAACGAGAGATTCCACCAGCTCAAAGTGACGTAATCTTATTACTCGCGCCTTAACCGCCTTCTGAAGAATAACGTGCCGGCCATATCTCCGTAGCGATCTCTTCCTCCACTCAAGGCTGTAATGTAAATTCCCCGTAATTCTGCCATGAACTAGACGCGGTTAAATTTCAATCTAAGCATCTCTCTCGCTTTTTCCGTCGGAAAGTTTCTCTCGCGGAGAAGAAGAAACGGGTTTGTACGGTGCGTTTTCTCATTCGAGATCTGAGAACGTTCTCGAACGGGGAAACGAAACGAAAAGTCAGACTGTGTGTGTCTCGCGTGAAAATTGCCATAACCGATGCCCTCGATAACGCGGAGCCACGTAAATCCATAGACGACCTAGATCCAGCTGCAGAGAAAACAAATACCGATAAATTATCTCGACGGGATCGAGGGAAGGAAACGGAGCCGGGTGCTTTTAGCGTCCGTGGAATCTCTATTCTCCTAGCGAACAAACATATAGACGTATACCATTCCACGTTTCTTCTTCCGAGAGTCTCAGGCTTCTACTCCTCGGATTACCGTCGGAAACTTTTCAAACCGACACGGGCAACGTGTAATTCTGCTCGAAAAATTCTTAAGGTAATTGAACCCTTTTCTAACCCAACTCGAGGAATCTCTCTATCCAGCTCTACATATCTCTCCCTCTCTGCTTTGTATTTCTTCCTTTCACAATTCCAAAGCGAATATTTCAATTACCAGCGAAGAATCCTGGTGCACGTCTGCAAAACATAATTCAAGAGGAGAGGAAAAAAGGAAAAGGTGATCGAACCCAAACGAAATTCCCCAGCGAATATCCGTTATTTCCTTCAGAAGCAGTCGTTTCATCCACTTCACAGGCTCTCTCTCTCTCTCTCCCTCCGTGGAAATACCGAGATGAAGGCACAAAGGAGAGCGCCCGCATGCGTCTGTATACACACACGTACGCGGTCCAGTTGTGCAAATGGAAAATCCAGTGCTCACCCAACGGTCACGTCGAAAATGTTGCTTCCGACAGAGCTCGACACGGCCATGTCTCCGGATCCTTTCCGCGCTACGATCACGCTTGTGATGAGGTCCGGGATGCTGGTGCCAGCAGCGAGGAACGTCAGGCCCATCACTTCCGGCGGAATTCGAACGGTGTCGCCGGCCACGTTCGCCCACCAGACCATCAGGTACGAGTACGCCGCGATCCATAGGATAGAACCGATGAACGTCACCGCGAAGAACTTCTTCCCTGTAACAAACGTGGAGATCGTGCCTTAGAAAACCTCTCCCTTTAAACCCTATTTTCCCTGGTGTATCCACCTCAAAGGGGATTTCCCCCGCAAATCGAATCCCTTTTCTTTTACCCCTCGAAATCTCCCCATTCTTCCTTTTTTTCCGCTCTCTCTTCCCTTTCTTTTGTCTCGTCTTTCTTCCTTCCTTTGTGTCTCTTCTCTTAAGGCGTTTTTCTTGGGAGATTGAAAGTCGAGCGAGAGAAGAGAGCGAAGGTCGTACACCACGCCCTGATACTTTTCTACCGAAATCTGAGGCTGGTCTGTCGAATTGCCTGGAATTTATCGACGCGGGTGTCCGAGGTGCTTTCAGAGAAAAATGTTGCACGGACAAAGGTGTGTAATGTGTATGTACCGTGGTGGTATTAATGTAATTGATTTTGGAGGACGAGTATTTTCCATTAGGCTATTACACGAGCTATTGTCTCCAAGTACAATTCACCGAGGGTTAGGGAAAAAGTGGAGCAGAGAAAAATCTCCGAGAAATATCCCGTGCGTTCAGCTTTAACCCTCATCCGAGTTGAACAAAAAACATTTTCCTATTCGTGGAAAAAAAAGGAGAGAAGAGGAGAGAAGGGGAGAGACCTTCGCGCGTTCAGTAAAGCGCTCCTTAATTATCAGCAAGATATTGGGTTGCGTTTCGTCGAGATTCCAATTAATCATCCGGCCTCGTTTATATGTATTTAACGAGGATCAGTGACAAATATTTCAAGTGAGCGGGGCAACGGGCATTTATAGAACGGCCTTTTTTTTCATTCAAAGGACATTTATAGGCCTCGACATTTATAGAACGTTTCATAAATCTTCACCGAGGACCCCTCGAATTAGACGTTTCGAGTTACCTTTTTTATCCTTACTCTTTTCTTCCACGATACGTGGCGAACTCATCAGGGTCGTTCGACAAGCAGAGACTAACGGGTGGTTTGTTTTAGTATATGGTAACGAGGGGAGTGAGAGGAACGGAAATCTGACGGGGAGAGACCTGGATTGTAAGGTGAGTTTGGAGGATCCTCCCAGCCTAATTTGCTAATTCTTTCATTTTTTAACTTCTTTTATGTGTGCACTGAAATAGTTGTCGAAACAGCTGTGTACGCCACTTGATACTTTGATCAAAGTGTACTCATATTTAATAAAACGTAAAATACAACATCCCCTGTTCGCGTAGGGATGGACAGGGATCGGCAGGACAACGCATACTCACTCTTCCCGAGACCCTTGGAGTATACCTTTGCGAACGGCGTTCGAATAACGTGGATGCAGACTTTGAATAAAATATATTATTGTGAAAACGTAGAAACGTAGCTAATTTTACGCCCACCCTACTCCGAGTCAGAGTACTTTCTGACACAATATTAATTTTCAATAAATTTTTCCGTCGTATCCGAGAAAGGGAGGAAAAGTAAAGATTGTCACGTATATACGGTGACTCTTACTAATATTCGGACACTCTTTAGAACAGTATAACTTGTTTAAAATTGGACTTAACGACTTGAGTTTTTTTTTGGGAAGTTAGAAGGATTAGTATACTAGGTGTAAAATTTTTTGAAAAAATTGCAATTTGTGGAAATCGCGAAGAAAATTGCAAAGGTCACATTCGACAACTTTTTTATCTGAGCTCGTAATGAAAATTTAAAAAATACGTTTTGCAGATTTATGCCAATTATACGCATGCTGAAAATTTTATCGAAATCGGTTAATGAGCTACAAATCGTTGAAGATCGTGAAAATTGCACTATTTCACGACGTTCGGCCTATAATTGTAATAAATCTGAAGATTCCTACATCTTT